AAAAGAGGATCGAAAGTGAAAAATATAATTACAATTCGAGCTCTAAATTCTCTCTTAAATTTAATCTCCTTCCCATAATTTTATCGAAATAAAATTCCTTCTTACGTTCGAATCGAATCGGTTCAACGATTTAAAATAAAATAAAGATTATTCTTTCCTCGAGAAAGAAGGAAAAAATAATGATAATCGTAAACTTGCTTTTATTTATTTATTTTTTAACGTCAGATCGTAAGCGTAAATCACAAAATATATGTATTTATACACACATATGTATACACATGTATAAAACCCCGAAATTATTATCCCTTTGACTTAACGACCACCGGGAAAGAATAAGAACCGTGACATCGAGAACATAAACGCGTCCCTCCATAGTTAAAATAAATTTCGAAATTCGCTTATTTTATATATATCACCGGTTATAAATTATAAAACGCTCCCGATAAAAATTACCCGGCCGAAACTGTATTTATTTGTTTTCGTGGTGTACGGTGAGTGAGAACGTGACAGAGAGAGAAAGAGAAAGAGAGAGAGAGGAAAAAAGGAAATCGAAGGAGAAAAAGAAAACGATGGAACAACAGGTTTCAGCGAAAGTAAATGACGGTAGGAATCGTTCGAGATCGCATTTTAAATTTGTTTTCCCCTTTGGTGAAACTGCTTCGATCGAGGGGGTCACGGCTCGTTTTAGGCTTGCGTCCGTGAGTTTGGAGAGAAGGAAGGGATGGAGAGGGATATCGGTGGACAGACGAGGCAAACATCTTTTTTTTTTCTTCTTCTTTTTTTCTTTTTTCTTTTTTCCAGAAAAGAAGAATTTCGACTCGTAAAAAAATTCTATTTATAGGGATAGCGTAAAGAAATGGAGGAAAGAGGATTGAAAGATATTTCGACTGGTCTTCTCTGGACGGTTTTCACGCCGTCCAAAGCTGGTTTTCTAGCTTTAACATGGCAGTAACTTTTAGATGTAAGAAAAAAAATCTATATATCGTGCTGCTATATATCGTTTCGTTGGAAAAATTGACAAAGGAAAATATCCGATCGAAAACGAAATCTTATAATTTTTGAAAAGAGATTTCTATTTTTTTTTTTTTTTTTTTTTTTTTT